ACCTTCCAGGCCTCTTCTTCATCCAGGACAAACATGTAGCGCTTGCCCTCTTGGTCTCGGACTGTAGCGCGCAGCACGTGCAGGCTTTTTGTCTTCCACTCTCCAGTCTGTCCGGACGAAGATGCAATGTTAGTATCTTTGAATTTGGTGTCGCACAAGCCAAGACGACAACAACTCTTGCAAGCACGCAACATTTCGGTCAGGTAGGCATCGGCTTCGTCGCCCGTGAGCGTCTTGGTGGCTCCCCGGTCCGCCGTACGGGCTCGCTGATTCGCCATTTTTTGAAACAAACCCGAAGGATGGTTCGCGGAATTCATCGCAGGGGCAGAAGCAGCATTCGAATTCAAGCAGTGCGGGGGGCACCATACCTCGACCAGCTTTAGCGTCCAAGCCTTGACGTCCCACTCGCGCTGCGGGACGCCGCGGACGTCGTCGTCGATGAAGAGACCTTCGGTTGTGATTCGCAGGATGAGCCCATCTGTCACTGTGCCAAACCCCGAAACGAGCTGGCTCGCAGGTGTCTTTGCGAACTGGTTCATGAACAGATAGACAGCCCTGATGACAATTTTGTCGGGATCCTTGGTCGTGTAAGGGCCGCGCATGCTAGGCGGCGGCGTTGTTCTTGTCGTGGTGGCCGACGGGGCCCACGATGACTCGGAGCCGACGGAAGACGCGGGTCGGTGTCTCGGCTTATCGTAGGGTCGATACGAGTATTGGTCTTCGTCGACAGTGCGTGCCGACGGTCGCGGCGGTTGTCTGGCCGTGTTCGAGGATGAAGCTGCGGAGGGCGCCGGCCTTGGAGGCGGCATAGAGCTAGCAGAGGGGGGAGGTCTCGGGGGAGCGGACGATGCGGACGGGGGAGGTCTCGGCGGCGTGGAAGCCGTCGTGGAGGGGGGAGCTGGGGGTCGGCCGTTGGGCCACATACTCGTCTTCTCGCCGGACGAGTAGGCGTAGCTACTTCCCTTGCGTGCCTTTTCGGCTTCTTCGGCCTCCTTGGCCTTGCGCGCAGCTTCCTCCTTGGCCTTGCGAGCTGCCTCCTCCTCGGCCAGCTTCTTGGCCTTTTCTGCTTCTTCTCGATCCTTCTTTGCCTTTTCTGCTTCCTCGCGCTCTCTCTTGGCTTTCCGAAAGGCTTCGAGTTGCGCCTCGACACGGGCTTTGCGGGCGGCGGCTTCGGCAGCCTCCTTCTTGCGGGCCTCCTCACGTGCCTTGTCCTCCTTCTCCTTGTTGGCCTTGAGCTCCCGCTCCTTTGCCTCCTTTGCTTCGCGTTCCCTAGCGGCTTTGGCTTCCTCTTCTGCCTTTTCTTTTTCGCGCTGTAGTTTCTCTCTTTCCTGACGTTCCTTTTCAAGTTTCTGTTTCAAGTCTTCCTTTTCGCGTATTTCTTGCTCCAATTTTTCTCGCCTTTCGCGGTCCTCTTGCTCCCTCCTCGCTCGTTCTCGAGCTTCTCTCTCTCGAAACTCCCTCAGCTTCCGTGCCGTCTCTGCTTTTCGGCGCTCTTCCTCCTCCTTTGCCTTGCGCTCCTGTTCGCGCTTCTTCGTCTCCTCCCGTGCCTTCTCCCAGGTGTTTGCTTTCGGCGGATCAGGTTTTGGTTTTGGTGGGGGAGGAGGATCTGGTTTCCGAGGTTCCGGCTCTGGCTCAGGTTCAGCTTCAGGTTCCTGAGGGGGTGGAGGCTGAGGTCGTTCTTGCCATTGAGACCTAGGACCGCCGTTTCCCGCGCCGTGATTGGGCGGCGGGCTGTTCGGGGGAGGGCTGTTATATTGATTGCCGTGAGGCGGAGGAGGCGGCGGCGGACCAGCATTCGCGTAGTTGTTGAAGTTTGCGCCTGAGCCATAGCCACCAGGGCCGGGACGGTAGCCACTCGAGCCGTTATTTGTAGACGCGCCCTGGTTCTGCGACTTGCCCCAAGCCCACGCTCCCACGCCGACGGCTATGACAAGCAGGGCCATACCCATGTTTCCCATGCCTTGGTAGGTAAACCACCATGCCTTGAAAGCAGGCGCCATGCTCTGGAACATGACGACCATGACAAGGGCGCATGCGAAGCCAGCGGCGAAGCTAGGGCCATTGGGGGCCAGAGAGGGCAAATATATGAACCCACCGCCTTTATCGCGCTGGGGAATGACGAATATATCATAATTGCCTGGGCCCAGGCCACTCCCAGGAGGCGGAGAGCCAGCAGTGGTTTTGGGTGCCTCGCCATGAGGCGGAGGCGGTGGAGGAGCGCTCATGCTGAGCGGACCTCACCTCTTGGTGAAGAGTGGTGATTTTTGGCAGTGAATGCCGACTGAGGTGGTTGGAATAAGAGCCTTGAAGCTCTTTTGGAGACCTGAGGTCTCGGTAGAGGGTAGTGAAGCAAGCAGAAGTCTAGTGGTATCTCAGGAGGTCCATTGACGGTCGTTATATCGTGAAGCGTCTGCACAGAAGCCATGAGCATTTCTTCTTCTTCTAGCAGCAGCAAAACTGTGTGCCATCTGATAGCTGGAAGGCAAGAAGTGGCAGTGGGATGACCAGCAGCAAGGCATAGAGTGGCGGAAAGAAAAGGGCAAAGCAGTTTGTAATAAAAGTACTCACAAGCAACAATGCAGAAAAACAAACTCCAGAAGCCAAGGAAGAAAAAGACGGGCAAAGACCAAGACGTCAAAGCGAGAGAGGGGTCGGATCGGGTCTCTTGAGAGGTATTTGTCGTCGATGCTTGGTGCCTGGGCCGAATGAATCGTGGTCTTCCCGCTCCGGCCTTGCGCTTTTTTGCAGGTGGCGGGTGCTTGGTGGTCCAGATTGTGTCCGATCGCGGGGAAGCAGGCTGAGACAAGAAAATATTCTTGTTGTTCTGGAACTTGCCCTGCTGGTTAGTAAGGAAGTTCTAGAGGGAATAGAGCTGTCTGGTGACACGGCGCCGTTCCTGGTGGAGGACGGGTTTGGTGGTGGTGTTGAGGGAAAATATGACGGGAAAGGGGACGAGAAGGGGCCAGGAATTCTTTTGTGTTTACTTTGGGAATTTCTCATGGGCGACCGGGTGGAGAGGTAGCGGCGGATGGTGGTAGACTGGCGGTGGTGGTGGTGGACTTTGGGGGAGCCAAAGTTGGGGGTGGTGTGTGACTGGGCGCTAGTGGCTGTCAGTACGTACCGACGTCCTTCCAGGTACCTCAAGACGCTGAAAGACACTAAGTGAACAAAAAGAGACCCTTCTGGTCGCTACAACAGACCCACTTATACACACTCTGACCTCTCTTAAGCGAAGGAATGGTGACATTTTGACAGCTGCGAATTGAGCTGAAGGAAGGAAGGCACTTGGGCACTCAGACCCGGTACCGAATGGCAGGTGCTGCCGCCAGCTGCACAACTTACTACGTACTGATATTGTAGGTGTCTTGTGTCTCAGAACAACTCACTTTAACCTCCATTCCAACCCCATCTCCTTGTGCCTCATGTTTCTCTGCTTTCAGTTCGCTAGCTTCGAACCTTTTGTTCTTTACCCGTTGCACCTGCATGTGGCCGCCTGGGGTAATGTCCTTGGCCGGACTGGAATGCCAACTGAGCGTTCGTCGGGAAAAGACTGTCATCCTAGCTTCCACCTCATACCTGAGAGGATGTTCCTTGCAACCGACGGGACCCTGAAAAAAATAAGACAAAAAATCCAAACCACTGGATGACCAAGCTCCAGCCACCGCTCCCAGCAGACAGCGCGATACCTAGGCGTTTGCTTCCCTTACGAATAAACATCCAGATGCTTCCACCTGTTCACTACGCCTGCAGGATGACCTCTCGCTATCCTCCTCCGATCATCAATACTGCAAAGGAAGGACATTAGCCAACGAAAGGACGGCGAACGAACTTTGCCCACTCATTGCCAACAGATCATCATAACAAATCACCGTTGCCGAGCCCACCAAGACCCTCTTCGCCCAGCTCAATCGAGCAAACCGCCTCCGATTCAGACCCTCCTCCCCTCTTCTAACGGTCCAATCTTAAGACTTCACTCAATCTCCTGCCTGTGACGGGCTATCAACCGAGTCGCATGCGGTCTGTCTGAGCGGTCAATCATTGGGAATCACTCGGAATCACAGAGAGAAAGCTCCACCTGGGACGCCATGGCAGCGAATCGCGGGTCTTGAGGCTATTTCCCCCGGTAATAGGCGGCAGGCCCTCGGCGCCAGCACATCCACTTTGGACATATACAGTAGGAGGGCGGTGCGGGAGAGGAGCAGGAGGGGGAAAAGAGGAGAGCCACCGTTGACGGAGTCCACACGACCTCCGCCGGTCCCGTACGGAGGGAGTATCGTCGCAATCACCTCGACTTTGATCATCTTGCTCTCGCGCCCAGCTCACTGGGTTTCCCTTGGGTCGATTAGGTTCAATACTCGATGGGCTCGAATACGACGGCTGATCGGGCGAACACTGCGATTGCGACTGCAACATTGCAATGAGCCAGGCTGGGCAAGCAGGGCACCGTTGGGCGCCAATTGTGACAATGCGGCGTCATCTCATCTCAACGGTCGTTGTGGTGGAGCAGGGTGGTGCTTCTGTCTCGACTCTTCTCCCTCTTTGTCGTTTTTTTCTTCACACCTTTTTTAAACTTTCCCCCTCTTGGAAACGGTTCCTCGGAGCCGTTGCCCAGCAACCGCGGGAAGTCCCTTGCACCGTCGGGTGTACGGTGTGCCCCATCCCGGCGCTCGGGTGACGTACCAAATGTCACCAAGTGGGCGTGGTCACAACGTGCCACCGTGCCACACTAAACGTCTTTCTGCCGGCCGGCAACCGCTGACTTTACGGATACAGATACTTCGACACAACATCCAGGGAGCCAAAGGTTGAGTCGAGAGATGCAAAGAGCAGCCAAACTGACGATGGCCTCACTTTTCTCATACACCAAAATTATATCGCCCCTCCCTAGCCTCCAGTCTTCGCCCAATGACCACGTGCTTCACATTTCTTTTCCCGCGACGAGGCAAAAAAGGGAGAAATCAGGGCGATGTGACGGCAACTGCATGGAACCAACCAGCCACTCAATAACGGCAGGGGGTCCCCGTCCGTAAGCAACCGCCGTCTGCATGTGCATGAGGAACGGTCCGGCGCGAGAGAAACACAGCACCGTCGCGTCCCCTACTGCATCTCCCGACTCCCGAGATCTCCCAGAGCTGATTGTCTTGGGATAACATGGCTGCTGCAGTAAGGCTGGCGATATAGGTCAGCATCCGAGGCAGCCTCTGGTACATCATAATGTCTTGGCATAATCGGGATTCTACGTGCAAGCGTGAGGGTATCAACTATGGCCAAGAACCCCCCTCTTACAACCTGTTGGCCGAGCTCTTGGACATCAATCTGTTTATGCTCACCAATGCAACATGGACGGCCTCCTTCTAGCGCCAGAATTTGATAGAAGATCCATTGAGCCTGGAGGAAAAGGCGTTACATAATTGGCCTACGGCCTCAGAACGAGTGCGTTCAAGGGCGCGTACTAGGCCATGCGGGTGACTGCCCCATCGAAGCTTCCCAGACGAGCTCAATCTTGTCTACCTTGTCAGGGGAACTTTGCACGAGTAAGGACTTCGCCTCAAAAAGGCTCGATCAGGCGCAAGATTCCAGTCTCTTGGCTTTGTAAATAATGATACAACCTGGGCCACACAGCCTCGTCGGTACCCTCACACCGGTGGTGAGTACGTATTTGGAACACCGCTGTAGGAATTCAACGGTAAGACCCAGTGAGTTGGCCATTCTACTGCTGTACATGGGTGTATGGCAACACCAATGCCAGCATGATCTACGCTTTGCTCCGGCAGAAAACCATGTTCTGATCTGCATGTGTGGACAATGTATTCATGAATGAGTAAAACATCAATCTGGATAGAACTTAAAACTCCCAAGCTAGAACTGCCATGAGGTAAGACACACTGGTATTTCCAATCTCAACTCGGAAAAAACAAACAAAAGAGACCAAAGCTAGGAGAAATGGTCAGAGGAAAAAATGAGTTGAAATCGCTATTGTTGCAAAGTATGTAAAATGTCGAGAGAAAAAAGAAGCCCCCTTCGTACTCGCGTACGTAAAACGTCGTTGTACTGTCCAGGCAAGAAAAACCACCCCTCACACCGAACGAAGGGTATGGCGAGATGAATCTCATCGACGAGCCCGCGCGACCAACAAGACGGAACCAAACTCCAGGCACCACGCAAAAGAATCCAATACCCGCCCGCCGACCCAAAGAAACCACACCACGACACCGAGGACAGCAACCACGGACCGAGCAGCGAGACCGCCCGCGACAACCAACGGCGGTGCTGCTGTAGGCCGAGGCACCGTACCCGTCACAATCACCGTCCCTACTTCCTCAACCCCCTCCTCTGACAGCGACCCGCGTCAAAACTTCTTGATACGCTTCTTGGCGACATCAATCTTGCCCCCGACCCGATCGGCGTCCTCGTTCAGCCGGTCCAGCATCTTGGTCTGCTCCGTCACCTCCTCGTTGATCTGCAGCCCAATCTCCTTTTGCCGCCGCACAATCGCTGCCAGGGTATTCACCTGCTCATCCTGCTCGCTCATCATCTGCCGCTGCAGCTGCACGACCCCGTTGTTGTCCAGCTCCCGCGTCCGCTCCGTCTCCGGCAGCGGGGCGCCCAGGACCCGTCCGCCCGTCCTCGCCCCACCGCCGCCGCCGCTTCTGCCGAGTAATGCAGCCTTGTCGCCCGCCGAGGCCCACCCTTCCCGTCCGCCGGGTCCGCCGCCACCGTTTCTGCTGCTTCCCTGCGCCATGCTGTTGCTGAGTTTGTCGAGCCCTTCCCTTTCGACGCGAGCGGAGGATAGCAGGTCTCTCCTGCGCCGCAATTCGCCGTCGCCGAGCCGTCCGCCCTCCTGCATGGCCCTCAATCCGTCTGCGAGGGTGCTCACTAGCGTATTGGCCTTGACCAGCGCCTTCTTGGCAGCGGCCCCGGCCTCGGCGGCAGCAGAGGTGTTGTTACTATCCACGGCGCCGTCCCTTCTCGCGAGCTGATTCCGCGCGTCGTGAAGGCAGCTCTTCATCTCGCGGTGCAGATCGAGCCAGGTCGTCGGGTCGGCGGCGCCCGCGCGACCGCTGGTGATGAGGCCGTGGGCGCTGGCGGCCGAGTTGCCCGTGCTGCCGACGCCCGTGCTAGGGAGGTTGAGAAAGGTGCGCCAGGCCGAGGTGTCGCGCCAGCGGCGGTCGGGGGACTCTGCGATGGCGCGAAGGTAGGATTCGAGACCCTTTCGGCGTTGTTCTGTGAGGTCTGGGGAGGAGACTGTGGATTTGAACCAGGACTTGCCCGGGAGGGGGTTGGGGGGCGCGGCGCCGACGAGGGAGGTGAGGGTCTGGTGGAGGGTTGCAAAGTCGGAGTAGCGCTTTTGAACGACGAAGGATTTGAGGGGCAGGCGGAGGGTGATGTTGTAGAGGGTGTAGGGTTTCGATTCACCGGTCGAGAGGATGGTTGAGGGGATGGAGATTTCGGCGGGAGGCGCCATTGTGTCTGCAGGGTGTGTGTTGTTGTGGTTTGTTCGAGGCGGGAAGTTGTGTAGAAAAGAGAGTTTTGTTTTTGAAGATTGGCGATAAGCGGGGGATAGGATTGTTTGTCGGGTTTGGACGAGGCGGGAGGAAGGCTCGGACGAGCCTGGTGGTTTGTATCGTAGCTCTAGTCGTCGATGGCGGGTTGTAGAGATGGAGAGAATCGATGCTCTGTTGTTCTTGTCGCTCCTCTGGAGGTCGTCGGTCGTTGGTTAGATAGCGTTGGGGAAATGGGATGGCTCGCAAAACAACGAAAGACAGCCGTCGTACTGGTCAAGTATCTTTCCGTGTTTGGTGGTCGGAATGATGGCCTTGGTCAGTTGTTTGCGTCAGGTTCAAAAAAAAGGTTTCGGGGCAATGTCTGAGGTTCTTGTCTCTCCTTTCGTTTAGTCGTCTGAGGGAAGGAGACGGGAGTGAGAAAGAGAGAGCGGTCACCTCAGGTTTCCAGTCAATGTACTGGAACCAAGGTACCTTGCTGTCCCGGTACGCTTGTGCAGCACCTCAGCATGGGCCAGGATTGCTACTTCGAGGTCCCCTGTCAACTCCAGCTTCCCTAACACAGCAGCCTGCTTGGGCCTAGGTAGCACTTTTGGCACTGGAAGAGTCGGGTAAGTCGATGGTCGTGTGCCGCTAATTGCTCCAAAGTTGACGCCTGTGGCGCATTGCGTGGAACCACTAAAATTGGGCCCGCAGCAGGAATGACCGCATTTCTGGGACATGCTCAGCTGGGCACCTCGCTTTCTCAGGCACCTGGTCAATCAGGCCAGGAACTGGGCGCTGATGACAGTGAAACCCAAGTCCGATCTAATCAACATCTGGCCGATCAACATAAATAATCATCGATACTATTGTAGTGACTTGCACGGTAGTGTAATCTATTGATGGAAACGTCTCTTGGTAATCGATCAATGGACCTTTGTAGAAATCCAAGTTTGGAAGTAAATAATCAAGAGTCAATATGCAAAGCGTACCGGCATAAAATACTCGAGCTCAACATGACGCTTCTGCCAAGTCATCTGCAGTAAACAATCTAATACAGCTCTCAGACTACAGACTCGACTTCCGCTCTGTGATGGGTGTGAAGTCGAGGCTTACCTTTCTATGATAAGAACTAAATATTGCAGCACCAAATGTAAGATCGGAAGCACGCCCAAATGAACCGGATAGCCATAGTGGAATGTGGTCTTGGACGCTTGGCCCAAGCCCTCATACTCTCTTCGTGTCACCCACGAAAATTGACTCGAGGTTCTCAGACAAAACGTTCTGATTCTATCATGACTGCTCATGTGGGACGGGACTGCCGCAAGCTCTGACCGACTCCTGTCTCGACAGTCCGAGGGCCACTCAGCCTCATCGCCAGTATACTGATTATTACGTGCCGTAGGGTATTTGTACTAGCGCCAAACCCATGTGCTTTTACCTCCCAAATCCCCTGAACACAACCTCCCATCCAACCATACAGCCTCTCTTTCATCTGTGTCATCGTCGCCCTACCTCAAAGCCTCCCGATTTAGAAGGTCTCCTGGTCGTCGACAGCCTCGCCCTCAGCCGGGATCTCGAATCCCTCCTCCGTCGAGTACAGGATAGTCTGGATTTGCTTGACGAGGCCGTCCTCCTGCTTCTCAAGCTCAGGGTCCTCCTCCACGGCCTGCTGCACCAAGAGCTCGATATCGCGGAGCTTGCTGAAGTAGAAGTCACGCTCGCGCTCGAGGCCGACGACCGTCTCCTTGAGAGTGGCGTTCTCTTGCTGCAGGGCAGCTGTGCCGGGGCCTGCCGCCTTGGGAACGCGTGCACCGCCGAGGGGTGTGGTACCGCCCCGTCTGGCGGCAGCCGCACCGGTACCGGACGCGGCACGGGGAGCAGGGCCACCGCCAGAGGGCACGGGGGCGCCCTTTCGCCGGGAGACTGCGTCGTACTCGTGATCGGGGAAGTTCAGGTCCCAGAACTTCTTGGTCCATTGCAGGAACTCGAGGTTGTCCTGCATCTTGCACTTGACCAACGCTTCGACGGGGATGGGCTTGTCGACCTGGTGCTTGTGGAAGCAGTCTGTTCAGGAAGTGTTTTGTCAGCCATGACTATTCGTTTCCGTGTATGATGGAATGGAGGTGGACGCAGAGGCGAGACGGCGTGGGAAGGCGCAAACTTACTCTGCAGCACCTTGAAATTCTGAATGTATGCATATTCGCTGTTGACGTTGAACTTGACTCTAGACATGGGAATATCCATGAAGATGCTGTCAAACACCTGGCAGAGAGCTGCACTGCAGATTGAAACGAAACATTAGCAACCGCCATCATCAAAATCATCATTGGGTCCCACAATAAACACATGGCGGGGGAGGGGTATCCGATCACCAACGTACCCGGTACCGCATTGCTCGACCTTTGTGATGTTGAGAGAGAGAAGCTGGTTCAGCCACTGGATGAGTTCTTGTCTGGAAATCCATGCCGTGTCAGCCAACAGTTGCGATGCGCAAACGTCCAAGATGCTGCCGGATGTAGCACCGCGATGGAAGAGGATGGAAGCTTTGCCCACCTGGATTCGCCCATTTTGTATGTGTTTGTTTGCCTCTGCGGCCGGAACTGTGTTGACAATCGGAAAAACGCGCTCGGGATGGATGTCAAAAGGAAATTCGCAAGGACGCTCGAGAGAAGCAGAGACGCGGTTGGTAGTAGTGGGTGTTGGTGGTCGAAGAAGTCGAGAAGGAGACGTGTGGAAAGTAGTAAGGTGCCGAGATTGGTTAGGACCAAAAATGACAAGTTGTAGAGCAACAGGGCAGAAATTAAATCTCGTTGCTTTGTCGGCGCCCGGCGTGAAGGCTGCCAAAATTGTTGCCAATAAAATGGTCGCCCAATCAACCATGGTGGGGTCTATCGGGAGTTGCCCCTGCCCCTAAAATCTGATGACAAACACCGTCACGTGCATAAGTCCCCGTCAAGATCAGTACGTATCTTTTTCTTTCGTTTCTTCCTCCTGATGAACGAAGTTAACGAACGATCCAAGGCCCACTATATCCCAATAGTCTCGCGTCTGACCGCCCATGACAGGGGGATGATCTCTGAAGACGGCAGAAAAAGTTTAGCTCCACCGTCCGTCCAGAAAAATTTCTGGCTCTGGGAACTGCTGGAGTGTGAGAACAGGCGTGTGTGTGAAAGCTTGACGATACCCCGCGGTCCCGACAACTGTCTTTCTCAACCACCATTCCACCACTCAACATGGCGCCTTCTCACAAGCGCAAGCAGATCGACGACGACTTCGTTCACACAATCTCCGACAATGACGAGGAAATCGTCGAGGAGGAGACCGTGGCACCGCCGCCCAAAAAGAAGGTGAAGGCCACCAAGAAGTCGAAAAAGGCCGCCAGAGAAGAATCGCCAGAGAACGAAGTCGCCGAGGGTATCTGGGGCCAGAAAGACGAAGACGATGGTGCTATGGATTCGGATTTTGAATTTGCGCAAGACAATGCCATCGAATTCGGCGACGCAGAACTCGAGGGTTGGGGCTTCGAAGGCGCAAAGAAGTCCATGAACAGCAATGCTGCCGCGGGTGTTGACCTGGACGAAATCATTCGCAGAAGAAGGGCAAAGAAGGGTGGCGAGGACAAGCCGAAGGAGGACAAAGAGGAGGTTGCGGCAGACGCCGAGGTGGATAACGACATGGACGTAGATATCGACCTCGACGACGACGAAGATGGAGTTCTGGCCGACGATGCCTTTGGCATGGGCGTGGATCCTGGTGCCGAGGATTCTGATGCCGAACAAGAAGACTCTGACGCAGAGGACGCAGAGGATGCAGAAGACGACGACGATGCAGCATCCGACAACGATTCCGTTGCGACACCCGTGGATCATCCCGACGACCGTGGATCTGACGATGAAGAGGAGGAAGACGCAGAAGAACAAGCGAAGCGTGATGCTTTCTTCGCTCCCGAGGAGCCTGCAAAGCCCGGCAAGAAGGATACGGCATCATCATTCCAGGCCATGTCTCTTTCGCGTCCTCTTCTGAGAGGTCTGGCCGCTGTCGGCTTCTCCAAGCCTACGCCCATTCAAGCCAAGACTGTGCCCATTGCCTTGATGGGCAAGGACGTTGTCGGTGGTGCGGTAACTGGTTCAGGAAAGACAGCCGCCTTTGTGGTCCCCATTCTCGAGCGTCTCCTGTACAGGCCCAAGAAGGTGCCGACGAGCCGTGTCGTCATCCTCACTCCTACCCGTGAACTGGCTATCCAGTGTCACGCTGTCGCCACCAAGCTGGCCGCTTACACCGATATCAAGTTCACTCTCGCTGTTGGTGGTCTGAGTCTCAAGGCTCAGGAGGTCGAGCTGAGACTGAGGCCAGACGTTATCATCGCCACGCCCGGTCGTTTCATTGACCACATGAGAAACTCTGCCAGCTTCAACGTTGATACCGTGGAGATTCTCGTGCTCGACGAAGCCGATCGCATGCTTGAGGATGGTTTCGCCGATGAGTTGAACGAGATTTTGACGACCCTGCCCAAGTCAAGACAGACGATGCTGTTCTCCGCCACCATGACATCTTCCGTCGACAGGCTGGTGCGAGTGGGCATGAACAAGCCCGCCAGAGTCATGGTTGACTCACAAAAGAACAAGACCGTCACTACCTTGGTGCAAGAGTTTGTACGCCTGAGGCCCGGTCGCGAGGAGAAGCGCATGGGCTACCTCGTGCACATCTGCAAGACAATGCACACCGAGCGTGTCATCATCTTCTTCCGCCAAAAGAAGGACGCCCACCGAGCAAGAATCATCTTTGGACTGTTTGGCTTGTCTTGCGCAGAGCTACACGGTAGCATGAACCAAGCTCAGGTGAGTTCTTACAATTTCTTCTTGATTGATTACAACTGCTGACCAAGTTTACAGAGAATCGCCAGTGTTGAAAACTTCCGCGACGGAAAGGTCAACTACCTTTTGGCGACGGATCTTGCGTCTCGTGGTCTCGATATCAAGGGCGTCGACACCGTCATCAACTACGAAGCACCCCAAAACATTGAGATCTACGTGCACAGAGTCGGTCGTACAGCTCGTGCCGGCCGCACCGGTGTGGCCATCACGCTGGCGGCAGAGCCGGACCGCAAGGTCGTCAAGGCGGCGGTCAAGGCCGGCAAGGCCAACGGCGCCAAGATCATGAGCCGCGTCATCGAGCCAACGGAGGCGGACAAGTGGCAGGACCAGGTGGACGAGATGGAGGACGAAATCGAGGAGATCATGGTCGAAGAGAAACAGGAGAAGCAGTTCCAGCAGGCCGAGATGCAGCTCAAGAAAGGCGAGAATATCATGCAGCACGAGGCCGAGATCAAGGCGCGGCCGAAGCGGACGTGGTTCGAGACGGAGGAGGACAAGAAGAAGGCCAAGATTGCGGGGCGGGAGGAGCTTAACGGACCGAAGAACGGCAAGAAGCCGAAGCTGAGTAACAAGGACAAGAAGAAGCTCGACGCCAAGGAGATGAGGAGCGAGGACAAGGTGTGGAAGAAGGGTCGGGCGGAGCGTGACGGCAAGGGCGCGGTGCTGAACCTGAAGAAGCAGCCCAAGAAGAAGAATGTGCCGGCCAAGGGGAGGACCAGGGCGAAGCTGGCGCGCCAGAAGCGGTGATTTTGAGGTGCTCTACGGTGTCCAAAAGTCTAGACTACAATACCATGTTACAATACCATTTCATTTCTTCACTATGGTCCATTGCCACTCATTTGCTGAATTAAAGGGGCCTAGTAGAATGTGAGTACGTTCTGCTTTTACGTACAACTACATGAACATGCAGGATGAAGTAGCAAGCCACCACTTAGGTACTCCGGACTGCAGATGAACCACGGAGTAAACAGTCTGTGCTTCTTGCTTTTGGGGGCCAAGCGACGTTGCAATTATCCCATGTCATCCCCGGCCGATCATCAAAGATGCACCTGCCATCACTACAAGGCTTAAGCTGTGTTAAGTACCGGTATGTGCTAACAGCTTGTAAGCTAGCCGAAAATACCTTACACCGAGCGGCCCAGATGTCTGCAGCTTGAGGTGTGGATGACGTAATGCCCGTCTCGCTCCGGAGCACGTCCCCCGGGCCCTCAGCTGCCGTCAGCTCGGCGACAGAAGAGGAGCCTTGGAAGGCTAGAGCTGGCTGGCTGGCTGGCTGGCCGCTGGAGCCCTGGAAATGCATGTGGGATGCCTTAGCTCAGAGGAGAGAGCTTGCTTCCTTGCTTGCACCTTGCTTATTTCCGCATAAATCGCTTTCTAACACTTTGTCGCATCTGCCCCTCGAGCCCCAGCCAAATCTGCACGGCACCGCGGCACCTACGCCTACCTTAACGCAACTTAGCTTGAGTTTCTGAGACCTCGCCCTCCCGCAACGTCACGAGCTCAACTTCTTCCCTTACCTCGCCGCGTGCTCCCGCTCCTCTTCACCACGAACCAGTTCGCACCAAGTTCCAAAACCATCCAGAGCCGCCCGAGATCATGTGCTTCCATCACTCTCTGCCGTCCCTTCATCAGCTGTAGAGCGTGGGGGTCATAAGACGCTGTCGGCTGCCAGCCTCGTAACATCGTGCACTCATCGCCTTACCTCATTCGCCTCGGCTTCTCCAACGACCTTGGTCAAACCTCTTGCCTAGCTCGAGATTCCATCCTTCCATAATACTCCAATACCTAGGGTCGGTTCCACGTACTCCTGCTATTGTCTTTGGGCCTCTTGTCCAAGGCACAAACTACGAACAAGCTGGCTCCTTTCGGGCGATTTGGTCCGCCGCGTCCGCATCCTCATAACCGCACGAGTCTCCTCCGATATCTTTTCCCACGAAGCGTACGAGACCGATACCGCGAGCGCGTTCTCAACTTTCGTCTTGATACCCTTCCGCAGCTTAAACACCGATTCCAGTCTAGCATTTACCGATACATCCTCGAACGTCAGCGCAAGCGAAACGAGAAGTCGAGACTCGTCGACGTCTTTGCGCGGCACAGTCGCCGGCTGCTCCTAGGTCCGCCCTCGGTCAGGCCGAAGCGGCATGCGAGGGATCGAGGAGGCACTATAAGCAAGAAGATGCCCACCTTCTCAGACTACACGACGACCTACGGCGGAGGCGGGGGCGGAGGCGCAGGAGGCGCCAGTAATGGCTATGGATATGGTTCGGCAGAGGATCCGCCCACCCCAGGCGAGAGAGGGTTTCGGCGGAAGTGGCTGGCTGCGAAGGCAGGGAGCATGTACCGGGCCGCTGCGGTAGGAGTCAACGAGATCAGGGAAGGCTATGCGCAGACACGGGCAAGGCCTTTGGAGCCGGGTGAGGGTATGCCGAGGACCACGATTCCGGGATCGTTCCCTGACGTCGCCATCACTGTTCAGGGAGACGATCAGATGGTCATCTTCCCATCGTACGCAAAGCGGCATGTCAAGCAAGATTGGACGGCGGCATACCAGCAGCACGCCGAAGAAGAGCCTGGCAGCGCTAGGGACCAAGAGTTTTGGAGGAAAGAGTGGGAGCGTAACGAAGACGAGAAAGCCATCGTAGATATCGACGTCAGGGGATGGGTGTACTCTCCTCATAAAGGGCCAATCACTCGGCGCAACCGCATTCTCATCGGCCTCGCACGTCAGCTAAGCGGCATCCCAGCCCCCAGACAGGATGCGCCTGCGCCCGATAACCTCTCTGCGTTACATCAATCACACGAGGAACGGCGAGAGCAGGAAAAGATTGCGAAAGAAGCAGCAGAAATCGAGAAGAGAGGCCAAGAAGAACGGCGTGTGGCGTATCAGGGTGGTTTTAGCGAAGCGCCAAAGGACGGATCCGACGACGATGCGAATGGTATATACCGAGCGAGATCCAGGTCACGAAGCGGCACGCACACGCCAGTGACAGCGCCCGGGTCTCCCAAATTGGCACCGACTAGGACAAACACTACGAGTAATGATTTGACAGATGCCGAGCTATCTGTTGCGAATGCCAACCTCATGGCTAGGATAGCGCCGTTCATGACTACACCTCTAGTCCAGCTGCCCATCACTGTCTTCTTCTACAACGACGAGAAATCGGCGTCACGGACTGTGCAGACTAACGACGCGGGCCACTTTATCCTCCGCGCCGCTTTGGAATTTGTCCCTACGCACGTCCGCGTCCTCGCTAATGAGGACTTGTCGGCGACCCAGGAAGTCAAGATCATCGAACCGAAGGGTGTCAGCTTGATCAGTGACATTGACGACACGATCAAGCGCTCCAACATATCGGGTGGCGCAAAGGAAATCTTCCGCAACACTTTTGTCCGCGAGCTGAAGGACTTGACGGTAGAAGGTGTTCGGGAATGGTATAACGAGCTACACTCATTGGGGGTCAGCATGCACTACTGTTCGAACAGCCCCTGGCAACTATTCCCGGTGCTGGCGAGTTACTTCATGATAGCCGGCTTGCCACCCGGATCGCTTCATCTGAAGCAATACAGTGGCATGCTCCAGGGCATCTTTGAGCCAGTTGCGGAGAGGAAGAAGAGTACCCTCACTAGGCTCATGCACGACTTCCCCGAACGCAAATTTCTCCTAGTTGGTGACAGCGGAGAGGCAGATCTGGAAGTCTACACAGAACTAGTGGAAGCCCACCCAGGACGCATCATCGCCATCTTTATCCGCGATGTTACAACACCGGAGCAAGCCGGGTACTTTGATACATCTTTCGAGAGCAGCAGCGCACGTCAGAGGGACTCAACGTCAAAGGCCACGGACCACAGCGATGCCCCAACGAATCGTCCGGGGCTTCCTCCACGCGGCGAGGCAAAGACGGTCGGGCCTGTCATGGGCGATCTGATCGACTTTTCCGACGAACCTGAAGAGACAACGCTGAACGACGCCGCTGCCCTGGCCCAGATCCAGGCCAGACCGAAGCCGTATTCAAGCACCACCGACACCGCCATTAGCCGAAAGCCCCCTCCACCACGACCGAACAAGCCAGTTGCGCTTCGCGGCGCTCCATCTGATACCAATGTTCCCACAATCAAGGTCAACAGCATGGGTGCTACGCCTCCCCCGATGCCGAGCGGTCGCAAGCCGTCTGCGGACCGGAGCAATCCTCATCCTCTATCGCAAATGCACAATTCATCGCAGCAGACAATCGGAAGTAACAGGAGCCTACCGAGCACGTCCAAGATACCAGCCTCTACTTCACAAAACGGTGCGAGTAAGACGAGCAAAGTTGCACCGGCGCCTCCCCCGCCTCGGCGTGTGGGGACCGCCTCCAGCTCTCGTAGTCTCAGCCCTCGGAGCCTCGACAGCCGGCGGAGACTATCGGCTAACGGAGACGTCGACTTCGAAGCGCTGCCACCGCCCTCCGCGGGTTCCCGGCCACAGCAGGTTCAGCCGCCGCCATTTGTGAGGGCGCAGACGGCCAGTCTTAGGTCCGGATCCACATCTCCGACGTACGGCAGTCCAAACCTGGGGCCGACGGCAGCAGCACCAAATAGGAAGCACGAGCTGTGGATGCGTCGGCTGCAGCGGGCCCAGGAGATTTTGGAGTCGCATGGTGTGGCGCTGTATACCTGGCGTAGGGGCGACGATGTAGTGGCCGAAGCTGTGGGGATGGTGAAAGAGGAGCTGAAGAGGGTTGGCCTCAACGGGGAGAAGGATGCGAAGACGGAAGGGAAGAGGTTTGAGAGGCAGATTAGGAGGGAGCAGTCGCAGCAACAGCAGCATCAGCAACAACGGCCTCAACAGCAGAGCGGGTATCAGCAAGGGTCATATCAACAAAGGAGGTGATCTTTAGAGATTCCGCGGACGGCATCGGAATAACTGGAAGAGGAGGCGTGATTGGGGGAAAGTGGCAAGCCGAAAGGATGGGGAATGGGGAAACGGAATAATAAAGGCGCTGGGAGGGTGGTTGATTCAAGTAAATAATTTTTACAATCAAGTCTGAAATCCTTTCGAACCACGCGATGTCATGTTCCGAGGCGTTCGGCATGGTGATCAGCAGATTCATGCCCGTAGTCCTTCTAAGCATGATGATGGGCAAGGATGTAAGGGAGGCACGGACTGGCGAGAAGACTGTTAATGGGAGGTGTCAAGAGGAACGCATGGCATGTGTGGCACCGCCACATAGTCCTCTTCTCACATGGTTAACAAGAAGCGAACGCAAATAGTTCGGATACCTATGCCGAGCTATGGGAAGGATCATGCATAGGATAGAGAGAGGTGGGATGTGAGCCCACCAGAGGTAGTTTGAAGAATATTATGGTTGTGCTTCAGAGTTGCTGCACGTCCCCCTTCTTCTTTTCGAGGTAGATGACGGGACATAGTATTGATTACATCCCACGAGTCCCGGAGTCCGAGGCTGCCTTACTCAGCTGAGGTGACAGCAGGAATCCAGGCATGGCTGGTGGATGAGTTGTCTTGAGCTGCTTTTCTTGGGGGTGTATCCCTGGGCTAGATGGGTAGTCTCGGACGCGATGGAGGTCCGTGTGGGATAGGAGTATTGCATTGAGAAGATCAGACGTCGTTTAGATTGGGGACTACTGCCGGGACTTTGTGCCATGGTGTTGGGACTAATAGGGGCCGAGACTGATTGGTGGGTTTGGTATAAGCTTTTTTTGCGTTGATTGTCCACGACTTTCATCCCGTTCCTCTGGAACGAAACCTTGAAGAACTAGAAGGCCTCTCTCTCACAGGCTTGTACATCTGCTCTGGAGTCCTGGACTGGGTCCTTACTTCTTCTATCTGACTTGTCAGAAGAAAGCTTAATGCGCACGGGTTTCAGACGACTGGGGTCGTGTACCTTACGTGAAGCGCGCCAACGTTCTTGGATAGATTTTCTATTCTTGCGAGGAACGTGCTTTCTTGGGGGATTGAAGCGCATTGTGATCGTTGCGCGCGGGTTCGGGTTCACGGGACAGTCGGGCGCCCAACCCAAAGATGTGTGTTGATTGAACTCTAAGTGAGAGATTCGGGAGGATAGGGATTCATTGGCATTGCGAATGGGTAGTTGAAAGACAAGAAACAAATAGTACTTTTTGGATATAAAGATGATAGAGTTCGCCCGTCCTTTGGGCTTTTGAATTTGGTTCATCAGCAACAGCTTCCAAGAGCTTTCCCCAATAAGATCACAAAGAACTCTTTTTCGTTTCGTTTTACATCTTTTTGCTTGAACGACTGGGTCGTCTCATATGACAGCTGGTTCTATCAACATACCAACAATATCCCATAGAGTAGAGCCAAGACTCTTCACCAAGTTCATCCCAACCGTTTTATTGTCATAGCCAAGACGCTATCATCCACTTTCCCCCTCATCACAACCATCTCATCTCAAAGGGCACAGCCCACTTTACGAGCTAGCCCATACAATGTACATCCGAAACAACCTCCTTGTCTTGGCCCTCTGCCTCTCTACCCTCGGCCTGGCCTCGCCCACCACCAGCTCAAAGAGCGGTTCCAAGACGTCGCACAAGGGGAGCGGTGGTTCCTCCAAGGGCTCGAAAGCGCACTCTAGCGTCCCGGCTCATGCGCCAAAGGGCACTCCGGCGCCAGGTTCCGGATCCGGATCCGCAGCCAGTGGCGGCGGTGGTGGTTCCGCAGCAGGCAACGGAACGACCTCCGGCGGCGCCAACACGGAGCTGCAGACGACGTTCCCAACGGCCAAGGGGTCGCAGAATATTGCTACCGTCAAGACCATTGCTGCGGGCCAGTCGTTTGACGGCGGGATGGTGATGTGGGATCGGAGTCCGAGTACCTGCAAGGGCCAGACTGAGGGCGGGAACAAGGACGCGGTGTTTATTCTCGAGGAAGGGGCTACGATTAGCAATGTGATTATTGGGCCTAATAATGGTGAGGGGATTCATTGTTTGGGGAGTTGTACCATCAACAACGTGTAAGTCAAGACCTCACTGCCCGCCCCCTTTGAACTAGAAGTTCTTTCCTCAAGTTCAGCCACTGACATTTTCTACGACAGCTGGTTCCAAAAAGTCTGCGAAGACGCCATCACGTTCCGCCAAACCTCGGGCACATCCTACGTCAACGGCGGCGGCGCCCAAGACGCGGCCGATAAGGTCCTCCAGCACGACGGCGGCGGGACCGTCGCCGTGAAGAACTACTTTTGCAAGAACTGCAGCAAAATGTACCGCAGCTGCGGAAACTGCAAGACGCAGGTGGCGCGGCACTCGACCTTTGACAATATCCGGCTCGACGGCGGAAAAGTGCTCAGCGGTGTCAATGGGAACTTGGGGGATGGGACGATTGTGAGGGACTCGTGCGTGCTGGGCGGCGCGCAGGTGTGCGAGAACTTTGAGGGGAATAGTAGTGGTGCGGAGCCCAAGTTGGTCTCGAGCGGGCCGGATGGGAAGTTGTGTGTTGCTACGAATGTTAAGACGAGTGGGTGTTGAGGGGGTTGTTGGTGGTGGAATTCGGAGAGTCTCGGTGAGATTTGGTGGTTTTGTTTGGAGGAGTGGCGGGTTCCATTGTCTATACTTTGAAGCAGTACATATGATTGAGAAATGGCTTGGGGTAGGAGTTAACCCAGAGTTGAGCCAATCTCTAAGCTGAAGTTGTAAATACATCCACCGTGCCACGAGGTCTACTCACGTTCCAGACGAAGTTGTCAACGCATACGAGGGCGTCTAGCATCTATTTTCTGGCGTGGTCTTTGCCTTCTCTCCGTTTAATATCACCCAAGTTCTGTAGCTCTTCCACCTTGGCTTAATCCGATACTTAGATGTTCATCCCTTCTACATCTACACATTGCTACGTAAGTTGTCACTCTACTTAACAGCATATGTGACAACAAGATTTGATACCCCTTCTTGAGTTTCCAATTCCTCAAGACATCAGACCCTCATCCTCGCGGTATTTGGCTCTATCAGACCGTGGGGTTCGTGACCAGGATATCCCCTCCGTCCGACATTTGAGAGTCCCGCCAAACTAATTGACAAGCCCCGCCCTTCTTATCCCCACCGCATCCACAACGAGGGCTTTCAGAGTCACTCTTCCCACAGGAAATCCGCACTCCATAATCATAATTCTGAGGCGCGGCTCCCACATCCAACGAGCGTATCAGCTCGCGCTCACTGGTCTATTAGTCTAGTTGGTTAGGACGTCGGATTCTGATGATAGCTTCGCTTCAAAAGACTTCCGTAAGCCCAGGTTCGAATCCTGGATGGACCTTCGTTTACTTTTACCGTTGCGCCATGTGGTGCTCGACCTACGAACGTAAACACGTCGCCATGAACTTTTGCTGGGATTGACTTGCAACATCTTGGTGCATGTTTTGCTTGAAACATCAGTCGCTCTTGATTGCGTGTACCGATATTGACAAGTAGTGCAGCCAAGGACCAAAGGAATCTTGGTAAGCCCTTGTGTTTGGGACAGAAGAGTTGTTTGCTTTGAATTATGTTTATATACATATGACTTTTGATTAAGGCCTGTCACAGAGAGATAATGTGCACGCGGTGCTGAAACGGCGACGTCGAGTTTAACTTGATATATGGGGCATATTGCTAGGATGCACCAACCTCTGTGGCTAAATTACTCAATCTTGGCACCGCGTATCCCCCATGTTTTGTTTGATAGAGACTTGAAAGCTGAAAGACTGAAAGAAGAAAACGCCATCATGTTTGTCACTGTCAAAAATTCCAAACTGAGTGCACTCGTGCTTCACATAGGTTTAAGAATCGGGCATGCCGTTAAGGAATACGGGGAAAGCAGGGAAACATCAGGCAATCCTACCGTGGGAGAACTTTTCTCGAAGCCCGCCATGGTCTGATTGCCCAATGTGGCTGAAAGGACCGGGCTTCCAGGGAGATCGGACCGGGGGTGAAGGGGGGCTGTCGGCTGTCCGCCGTTTGCCGAGCGCGGCATTGTGGGGAGCATGGACGGGGTTCATCTCGTATCGTCAGGGGCCCAGGGGATCATCGTATTCAAAAGCAACACTCCAATAATAGGGATCATGTGGATATTCATAGGCAATGAATAAGATGTGATGAAGTCCCCTCGGTTCACGGTCTGGAGGGGATGTCTTGACAGCGCTTGCGCGAAAGACCGAAGCACGAATTCGTTGTTCGATTGCCTTTGAGCAGCTTTCTATCGTTCAACATGTACCCTCACTCGTTCTTGGGCCTTTTGACTTCGTGCCTTTCACTCTGCTCTGTCGCCCATGCAGTCCCAACCGAACGACGCCAGGCCAACGACACCTCTACCGACGTTCAGACCTACTTCAACTTAGATGGCGCAGCGCATGGCGATAAGGTCAAGACTCTCATCGCCGATGGCTACCGCATGATATCATTGAGCAACTATGGCACAGCGCCGGACGCACAGTATGCCGCCGTCTGGGTACGGCGGGACGGAAATCCTTTCGAAACAATCTACGGTGCAGACGAGGCCACTTATGACGACTGGTTCGACTCGTGGAAGTCCAAGGGCTATGTACCGACACACATCTCTGTCACGGGACCGGCTGGCAGCGCCATCTACGCAGGGGTCATGGAGAAGGCCAACGTCACCAACTGGACACAACTTTGCGGTCTCAACAACCCCTATGAGTTTGACAACGCGACGAATGGTATCGACATGGTTGTGAAGGGCTTCAGCATGTACGGTACCCCCTCGGACCGCCGCTATTGCGTTCTGGGCCATGAGAACGTCGGAAATCAGATGTCTACTATCTTTTATTCATCCGGCAACTACACCGTCGACTATCCGAAGATCTATGAGTCAGAGACAGCGAAGCGCTTCTGGAGACCATCTCGCCTCTTTCTCTCAGACGACCACGTCGTCACCCCCCAGTTCGTGGACACCTCTGTTGGGAAGTGGGTAGCTTTGAACGATCTCACGGCCGAAGAGCTGTCCTCTCAGATTGAATTGCAGAAGCAGCAGGGCCTTCACCCAATCGACGTTCACGGGGGTGCTTCCAGACAGGACGTTCGCTTTGCCGTCATTTTCGCTGAGAAAGACGTTCCCGAGGCCCGGAAATGGACCGCCACCGGCTCCTTCAAGGGATTCAAGGATAACGCAGGTGCCACAACGGCCTTTGATGCCGCAATGCAGACCTGGATGAAGAAGAACGGTGTACGCCAGGCGCAACTCGCCATTGCGTCCAACGGCTCAACCATTGCCGAGCGCGGGTACACCTGGGCGGAGAACGACCGTCCCGTCGTCGAGACGAGCGACGTCTTCCTCCTCGCAAGCGTGAGCAAGATCTTTGTCCACGCGGCTATCTTCAACCTCATCGAGGCCGGGAAGCTCAACTACTCCACGGCGGCGTACTCATTACTCGGATACGACGAGCCCGCGGACGCCCGCGCAAAGGACATCACCATCGACCACCTCCTCTCACATACGTCCGGGTACAATCGCGATCGTTCCGGCGACCCGAGTTTCATGTTTCGCGAGATCGCCATTACCCTGTTCAACGGCACCCGTGCCGCGACGCTACGGGACGTCATCGAATACCAGGTCGCCCGCCCCCTCGACTTCGCCCCCGGCACGGACTATGCCTACTCCAACTACGGGACCATGCTCTTGAGCTACATCGTCGGCAACGTCACGGCAACGCCCTACCTCGATTTCTTGAGAGACAAGATCCTCGGCGATCTAGACGTACGTCTGTATGAGACGGCAGCAGAGAGGCACTCTGGGGACCGCATCATTCAGGAGAGCAAGTACACGGGTTACGATCCGCGGGAACCACAGTCGTACCGTCTCGTACCGGGCCCGTATGGCGGCGACGGGGCTATCAAGGAGGAGTGCGCGGGTGCGTTCTCGCTTGCGGCGAGTGCGGGCACTGTGGCGAGGTTCATCGGCTCACACGCCGTCAGTGGCACCGGCGGCCGGGCGCCGTTTGCGGAGCGGGACGGGACGGTGGTTGGGGCGCGGACCTTTGCGTCGAGTAGGCCTGATGTTGACTGGGCTCTGACGATTAACACCCGAGAGTACATCTCTGAGGTGGAGTTTGATGACTTGAGGTATTGGAAACTACCTTTTGTGTTTGAGGACTTTGCCGTGGCGTAGACGGAGAGGAAGATAAATAGAAGTAATGTTAAATTGCAAACTTGTGAACATGAAGCCTAGTGTTCATCTCGGACATGCTACTACACAGACACAGCTGTTGAGCGCTTTCAACGGATCAAGATAACTTGCTCTCGATCACGGCATACTCTTTCAGCGCTTTCAAAGCTTCCCCGTGCTCCTGCTCAATCACCTGAGCATGCTTCAGTGACCTAGGCGTAATTGAGCAAGGGAATGGTAGTGGACTCGAATTGAAGCCATCCGAGTATGCAAAGCTGCGTGTACATCCACCAAGTCAGCTCCGGATCTGTGTGCGCTCAGGGGTAGGATTGGCTCTTACATGTCCACCTCGACGTCCCTGCCCTTTTCGTCCGTTTCAGGGTTGACTTCAAATCCCCAGAGGATCCTCGCAATATTCAAGGCTACGGACGCAGATCCAAGGTGCATGCCAGGGCAGATCCGACGGCCCCATCCAAAGGCACTGTGACCGAAGGTGCCAGGGTATTCGCGTTCAGTCAAGAATCGCTCAGGCCTGAACTCATGAGGTTCTGGGAAGTCTGCTTCGTTAAGATGAACTAGAAATCATCAGTCAGAGTACTAAGCGGGATCAGGAGCATATGGGACTTGACATACTGCTCCATAAAGGTGCGATAACGGTGCTACCCTTTGGGATGAACATGCCCTTGTAGACATGATCCGCGGTGCTCGCATGGGGAGTGCCACCGAGCACGGCGACAGGCCGCCAGCGTAGCGTCTCCGCAGCTATCGCACGAACATACTCGAGCTTATTCAGATCATCAAACATGGGCAGCCGGTTGCCTCCGACAACTCTGTCAAGCTCCTCTTGCACTCTTGGTATGAACTGCGGGCCAAACTTGGCACAAGCCAGTATGAAGCTGGCTAGAGATCCGGCCGACTTGAGGCATTGGTTTATTAGTCACGTCGGGTCTTTGCAAAAGCGCGGACTACGGAGGGGGAATTTCTCTTACCGTCTCAACGCCAGCTCCAAATGGTGAGCCTGCCGTGTAGGCTATTTCGAGATCTGACATGCCCAGGTTGGATTGCTCTTCGAGCAGGTGTCTAGCGAAGGACTCAGGCGCAACGCCTCTACTGACTTTGTCGCGGACCTCGTCCATGAGCTCAGTGTACATCTGGATGTCCTTTTGCCTCTGCTTTAAAACCTCGGCCTTCCAAGGGGCCAAGAAGCTGGGGATGTACTTAAGAACAGGATATCTCTCTACGGCAAACTTTCCTGGAATGCTACATGTCGAAAAGAATCGTCAGAAACAGAAGACTTGAGAAGAATAGGGGGAAGAAGAAGACGCTTACTTGACCGATGTTAGGCGTCCCATTGACTCAGCATTGCGTTGGACAACGATAT